CGCTTATCGAGGTCGTCTCTTGGTCGAGCTCGATGAGCGGACCTTATTAATCGTAGTTCGAGAAATTCGGATGGGGAGGTCGACTAGTATGGGTTGCAGCTGAGGATGCCGATGCCGAGGGAGAATATCTTGAAGATGGTGGTGAAGAGAGTCGCGATGGTGACGCTGAGTGAAAATATAGCTGTCTTTTTTTTGTCCATTGATCCGGGTCGTATGTAATCTACGACTATTTGCGCAGTGACTTTGTATAAACAAGAACTTTTCGTTTTATTTGCCTTGTACTTTTCCATGTTTTCGCTTTTTGCGACTTTGGTGCGAGGTAGATTCCCACATGGCGAGTCCCGGTTTTTCCTTCTTTATATTTTCTGACGGCACTTGGCCTTAGGGACATTTCGAATTCTCTTCGGAGAAGGCCCATGGCCTTAGAGGGTATTATTTTTGTCGGAACATTGACCCGTCGTTGTTCGATCGAGGTCGAACTCTTCTTCTTTGGCGAAGGCCCTTGGCCATAAAGTCGATTCGGACGAGGCCGAAGGTTGATTTGGGCGAGGCCGAATGTTGATTCGGACGAGGCCGAAAGTTGATTCGGACGAGGCCGAATGTTGATTCGGACGAGGCCGAAGGCTGTTTCGGACGAGGTCGGATGTTGTTTCGGACGAGGCCGAATGTTGATTCGGACGAGGCCGAAGGCTGATTCGGACGAAGCCAAATTCTTCGATTTGGCGATGGCCCTTAGCCTTAAAGGGTGTTATTTCGACTTATCGAAATGTTAACCCGTCGTCGTTCGATCGAGGTCGAACTCTTCTTTTTGGCGAAGGCTCTTGGCCTTAAAGGGTGTTATTTCAACTTATCGAAATGTTAACCCGTTTGAATTCGAGCGAGGTCGAACCATCAAACTTTGATGGTGAAGGCACTTAGCCTTAAACTCTATTCGAACGAGGTCAAACTTATCAGACCTCGGTGGCGAAGGTACTTAGCCTGAGTCCCAGTTCGATCGAGGTCGAACTGTTAATCTTTGATGGCGAAGGCACTTAGCCTGAGTCACAGTTCGAGCGAGGTCGAATTGTTAATCTTTGATGGCGAAGGCACTTAGCCTGAGTCCCAGTTCGAGCGAGGTCGAACTATCAAACTTTGATGGCGAAGGCTCTTAGCCAAAGTCCCAGTTCGAGCGAGGTCGAACTGTCAAACTTTGATGGCGAAGGCTTTTATCCTGAGTCCCGGTTCGAGCGAGTTGAACTGTCAAACTTTGATGGCGAAGGCACTTAGCCTGAGTCCCAGTTCGAGCGAGGTCGAACTGTTAATCTTTGATGGCGAAGGCACTTAGCCTGAGTCCCAGTTCGAGCGAGGTCGAACTGTTAATCTTTGATGGCGAAGGCACTTAGCTTGAGTCCCAGTTCGAGCGAGGTCGAACTGTTAATCTTTGATGGCGAAGGCACTTAGCCTTAATCCCAATTCGAGCGAGGTCAAACCTGTTGATCTTTGATGGCGAAGGCCTCAGCCTTAGTCCCAGTTCGAACGAGGTCGAACCTGTCGATCTTTGATGGCGAAGGCCTTAGCCTTGGTCCCAGTTCGAACGAGGTCAAACTTGTCGATCTTTGATGGCGAAGGCCTTAGCCTTAAAGGGTTTCCTGGGGGAGTCCCAATTTGCTTAATTTTGCTTGCATTGGAGAATATGACGTATTTCCTGGGGGAGTCCCAGTTTGCTTAATTTTGCTTGCATTGGAGAATATGACGTATTTCCTGGGGGAGTCCCAGTTTGCTTAATTTCGCTTGCATTGGAGAATATGACGTATTTCCTCAGTTTGGTCGCTTTCCCTTCTGCGGTTATACTTTCGGTGGTCGCTACCAATTTGGCAAGGCCGTCTATTTCGATGTTTTGTGCTCGGGGCATCTGGTCGAGTTGACACTCGTCAAACTTGGGCAGTAGCTTATGGATTCCTGCCTGATATTTTCGTGGCCTTTGTTCTTTTATTTGGAAAGTCCCTGTGACTTGGTTGATGACGGGTTGTGAGCCATATCGGAGGATGATTCGCCGTGCTCCATACTTGAGAGCTAGTTTCTTGTCCTTGTAAATGTCAAAGCAAAAAGTGAAGTTGGCATGACAAAGCACACGAAGGCCTGAAAGGACGCCACTGTGCAGAACCACACCTCTCAACCGTGGTATTTTAGCAGCAGCCAAGTGTAATGTTGGGCCACTTCTTAAATCTAGATTAGATGTCAATGCATACGACAGGGTAATTCCCAAATATTCTACATCTTTTATTCAATAAAACTCCAATAGCTCTGGATTTGGAAATTGTTTAAAGATTTGTCAGTAATAGTCTTTGTTGCAGTGATAATGCGGACGACGAGTGATCAAATGGGAAGCTCTAATGATTTTATTTTAATGCAACAGCCGAAGGCCTCTAGTTGAGGCTAAATATCTTGAGCTGTTTATGATTTCTTGGAGCAATATTGAGACCATATCTTTACCCACCTTGAAACCATGATTCAACAGAGGTACTTCAATCATTATTTTATTAGGTGTATCAAATTCGTTTGGCTTCCCTGAAGACGCTCCATAGTCGGAATTGAATCTTAAATCTAGAGGAAACTAAAATTTTAACTAGAAAATCCCTACAGACGGCGCCAAATTGTTTGACTCAAAAGTTGTTTAATACTTTTTAAGCAAATCAATCAAAAAGATGAAGGGGTAAATCCTAGTTAAAGATAATTAACTCTAGATCCGAGGCGAATAATATGAGTAGAAAAACATAGCCGAGTATAAATATTAGGCGTGATTATAGCCAGATTTAATAACATAAAGAAAGATGCATTGAATAACATTAAATGGCAATAAAATGTAGATAAAGGAAAAGATTCACCCGATCTTGAGTTAGTCGGATCTTCTTTCATTTGATAAAAATGAATAATAGACAAAATACAAGAACCATTGGACCCTTTTTGGATCTGATGAAGGTTTTGGATCACAGATCCTCTTCTCTCTTTTGAGAGATGTGTTTACATATTTTCTAGAAAGAGGGAGAGGGAGACCGAGAGCCAGCCCCCTCAATGGGAAGTCCTCCCCTCCTATTTATAAGGGGGTATCCATAGAAAATTCTTACAAAAGGTACAATTTAGAGAGAATATTCGGTAGAATATTCCTTTTGAGTATTCTAAAGCAAACTAGTAGTTTCATGACTGTCCGTCCTCGGCCTGTCCGACCTCGGCCTATCCGACCACGACCTTCTTGATGACGGTCCGGCCTTGGCTTTATTGATGACGGCCCGACCTTGGCTTTATGTTTTCGCGTGCTGAATTTCTCTGGTCTAATTTTGACCCATACACATGGCTTATGTACTATTTAAGAAAAAGATAGTCTGACGCATGAAACATCCTGTATTCACGTAGGGTTCAGATAAGGACGTCGTGTGATGTCGGCTTATGTACTATTCTTGGTAGAAAATATCAGTCCTAACCGCATCCTATCTTCCCACAAGGATCAACTGTTTCATGCTTAATCTTTCTTCATAGTTTAACACAAAAGACCTGATGCCATCTAACTAAAGAAGGGTGATTAGTATTAAGATAGCAGCACGTAAAAGGAAAAACTCAGCCACACCACTTAAAAACCCCTCTCCTTCGGCACATGAGCAAGACAACAAAATACGGGGGCCTAACGTTGAGCAAACAAGTCCAAGTATAGAAATGGGTATGACTAGTGGTGGTAAAATGGTTAAAAGAAAATAGTTATCTACCATATTATCCATTAAAATATGGGTTGGATAATGAACATTTTAAAAACGGGTCAAATATGGATAAGAACCATATTATCCACTTAGAAAATGGATAACCAATGAATAACTAATGTGTTTAACTTTTACATCTGTAAAGCCTCAAATTGGGGGTTCCTCAAATTTGGGAGACTAGAAATTCTCCCAAAAGTGATCATATTCAAGAAGCCATGGATAATACAGATATCCATATTATCCGCCGGTTAACCCGTTTTTTATCCATATTAAATATAGGTTGGGTCAGATAATTTATCCATTTTTGCATTACCCGTTTTCAACACGCCCATATCCGACCCGCCCAATGCCACCCCTAGGTAGGGGTGGGCATATTTCGGTCGGAACCGAATAAACCGATCGAACCAAAAATTTTTTATTTCGGTTTCGGTTATTCGATTTGTTCGGTCGGTTTCGGTTTAAAATTTTAAAATTTCAGTTTTTCGGTTCGCTTTTCGGTTATTAAGTTATTTAGTTCGGTTAACCGAAAAACCGAATTATTAGCATATAGGTTCTTTAAGTTATATATAGGCTAAGCCCATAGGTAATAAATTAATGCTATTAGGTCCAATCTATCAAAGACTCAACCTAATTAAGTAAGTCCATCAACTTCCCAATCTTAAAGACTTTCACTCTATTAAAACTTCCATAGCATATATGATAGATACCGGGAGGATTTCACACAGAGTTGTAATTTACACTATGTTTGAATTTTATGATCCATAATAGTGTGCAAAGTTTAGTCTTTTTTTTTTATTTTATAAACACAATATTTCCAACAATTTCGAAGTTTTGGGAAAAAACAACAAATTCGCCGATCCTATTATTACATAGAAGTAGCCCAATATGATAATGTTCAAACCGAAAACCGAACCGAAATTAGAAAAACCGAACTGAACCGAACTTATTTCAGTTCGGTTTCGGTTACTACTTTTACAAAACCAAAAACCGAATAACCGAACCGAATTTCTTCAAACCGAACCCCGAACCGACCGAACGCCCACCCCTACCCCTAGGTATGACTATGATACCATGTTAAGGAAATGGACTTTGGACTAACTCAAACCTAAAAGCTAGCTCATAAAGTAAAGATTACCCGAGATTATATAAAGAGACAACAAACATACACTCAAGCAGTCAGCGCCAAAATATGGTTGCAATGAAAACTGAGCAGAAAAAACCATTCGCGAATCGAGATACCAGTACAAAAACCATAAAAGAGGGCAAAGACCATACAGCCAAAAGATGTCTCATCTGCGTAAAATTTTTTGAATTATAGTCCTCAATCCAGGATATACTTATAAGCATCGAATGACTATCAGAATTCAATATAGATACCCTTCATGACTGCCATCCGGTGGTTAAAAAAATCAGAAAATCTCCTCTTTACATTTCCAGATAATTGAGATAAAAGCAAAATTGAAACTAGAATGTGTAAATTGCTACTACTCCTGAAATTACATAGAAGTGATTCAAAATTTTACGTCACTGTACAACTCTGCAATTGTGCCACAATCATGACCGATCACATTCAGCTACCTGTTTCTCAACAGAAACAGAGGCTGAACTGGAGTTGGGAACTTCATTCACAGTCACATGTTCTATATAACCTCTTTCAGGTTCATCAATCCCTGCAGCATTTCCTTCCTGTAAACCAGTCAAAGGATCTTCTGGGATGGGCTGAACATTAGCATCTGAAGGCTGCTTCTCGCGTTCCATGTAACCTTTTTCAGGTGCATCAGTCCCTGCAGTGTTTCCTTCCTCTGAACCAGTCAAAGAATCTTCTGCAATGGGTTGAACACTAGCATCTGAAGGCTGCTTCAAAGCAGGAGCAGCATCTTTTCTGACACCAATATCCTTGGTAGAATTACTAGACTGCAACCACATAAACTGCAAAGCTTGGCCTTGCCAGATTTTGCCATTCAAAAATGCCCTCTCAGCAGACCGGCGCGTTGGAAAACATATCCTAGCAGATATGTTTAACGTCTCTGAGCCATTATTACTATCTTGAGGCTCCAAATCTTCCAGCTCAACAGAGGTAAGGTCACCAAAAGCAGAGAAATGTTCCTTCAAGACAGCAATCTAGAAAAGGAAAACCATTCTTAATTTTATCATACAAAGATAAGAGCAAGGAGGGAAAAGAATCTACAGATCAACCTGGACTATTGTAGCTAACCAAGGGAGATATAACACTAATGACAAGTACTATAAAGTGTCCTCAGATCCTTTCTCACACATCTAGAAGAATTATGTGGCACCTAAATTGGGAAGAAGGAACTTTACAGAAAAATAAAGATTTGCAAATATGAGAACAGGTAGAAACACATGCAGATATCTCCTACCTTGACCATGGGAATTATGAGTGCATTGTATAAGAAAATAAAACAAAATTTTCAAAGTGCGGACATAAACTTTCGAAAACCTATCCATGTGAGAAGGAGAAGATGGTAATAATATAGGCATGCTCTAACATACTAACAGCTCTGCCTTGGAAGAAAAGTTAAGGCACATAAGTGGCATAAGAAGATGGAAGTAAAAAATATGTGCAAAATTATTTGCAAATACTGGCAAATTTCAACTATCTGAGAGAGGACGGAAAGAAATTACATTTGCAAGACCACATGGCAAAGGTGGAAGAACTTTGAAGGCAGTGGGACGATTGTCTAGTTTGTATCTATTGAATATAAAAGGTGCACCATGTGGTGCCAGTGGACGAATTGACTGCTTCAAGCTGGAAGGTTCCTGTGTGGCCACAGTAGAAGATGATATAGAACAAGAGCGCTCCGCATTCTCTGTTGATCTGCTACAATCAGAGATTGCGTCAGCTTGTGTTGAAGATACATCATTATTAAGTTCCGCGGAGCTTGAATTTTGCATTTTTGCAGAATAAGATACTGTTTCTCCCTCCTTCTGTTTCTTCAGATCCTGGTCTGAGACTGCTTCAGCTTTCACACCTACAGCCTGCATAGACCACATAATGGTGGAAGAGAAGACCCTAACATTAGTTTATTAAACATCAATGAGATTATATCGTCAATATACAGAGGAAAAACAAAGAACAAACTGCAATAAACATGAGATCTGCTTACTCTGAGGACAAATTAATTGCTATAGTCAATCTTGATATAAGTTGTGGAAACAAGAATAAGAACCTTTACAGTTAACATAAAGTTATATCATCATATGTGGGAAGGAAACAAAGAATGACTTGCATAAACAATTCCAGATACAAGATATTCACTGTAATCACCCCTCGTCATTATTATGGAAAAAAGTACTTCTACAGTTAACAACTAGGAAGCATATCAAATAACAACTTGCAGGAATGCTCCGAAAAGTCAGTTTGTTTAAAAGTAGGCTTTGAAAAAGAATATAATGGAATATTTCAAGTTGGTGAGAGAAAATAAAGAATAAAATCACTTAATCTCAGTAGATACTCAATATCAGCTTAAAGAACATTTTCTTTGGACAATTTTGAAAAAAGAACAGGCAATCACCTGCTTCTCAAGTTTAACCAACTGACGTCGGAACTCATTCCGCTTCTGATCAAGCAGCTCCTGCTTCTTGCGCAATTCTTCCTTCAAAAGTTCTAAACTCTCCACCTTTTTTTGCACAGCTGGTGCAGCTTTGGGAACATTATGAGCCACAGGCTTAGGTAGACCAGAAGAAGGTAACAGAACAACAGGACCATGTTCAGCAGCTTTTGAGGCTAAGGACTGGATATTGTCTTTTCCTTTATAAGGAACAGATAGGTGGGGTTGACCCACACTGGATGTTACTCCACGAGGAGTCAAAGGTAAATTAATGCCACCATTTAAACCATCATCCATAATGCTATCCCTGTTTGCCCAGAAAAGCTTTATAAAACGGTTGCCCATCACAGCATCAGGTGCCCTTAAAGCAGCCTCAGCTTCTTCTCTCTTAGAAAATTGAATAAAAGCTCGTTCACCACTCTGTGGGATGTGGATGTCAATGACCTCCCCAAATTTTTGAAAATGTGAAAGAAGAGCATCTGGTTTGTTGTCTTTCTGTGGAATGCCTCTCACAAACAGCGTTCGAAGTGCCTTTTGAGAAGGTTTTCTCATATTATGTCCAGAACTACTTTGGGGCTTGAAAGATGATTCTGTCATTTGTGGGTCAATAGTATCTACATTTTTTTGCTTCCCTGGACGGGAGTTTCCTTGATTGCTGCAGGACGATTCCAAATCTTTTCCCATTTCATCAAAACTTGAAGCATCCCCTGTAAAATCAGTGATCTCTTTCCCATTCGACTTATTTTTTGACCTTCTGATTCTTCCCCACACACTCTGAGATCCTGAAGCTGCCTTAGCACCTCTAAGTGGATGCTCAAGTTCAAAGGCATCACACTGCCCAACTTGATCATGATCAGAGGATTCTGCATCTAACAAAGGCCCAGTATCATCAATTTTAGATGGATTTAAATCCTGGAGTACTGCTGAAGTTTCAGAACGATCATTTGACCATAAAGGCTGATCAGGATCATAAAAATCAGCTCCACCAGCCATAGAACCATCAACAAAAGCATCAGTCAAACCCAATCCATCATCAATCACAGGAGGTTTGGTAATTTTGTTATGTAAAGCTTTGCCACTAACCAATGATCCAGAAGGGCCTATCACAGGTAAAGATCCTTGTGCAGTAGCTGGTCCTAGCATGTGTGCATTAGGAAGTGACACAGGAAGATTAAACTGAGAAAGGCTCTGCAAATTGGAAAACAATAACATAAAACCAAAGTGCCCAGGCTAAGAAATTGCAAAGTATAAGAATAAAGTGTTGACAGTAAATGAACGGGAGATTCCTTTGCCAAAATAATTCATCGCTTACTTGCTTAATATACAAAACATAATGTGTTTTCATAAAGAAGAATGATCTAATAAGGGAGTCCTGACTCAACTTACAAAAGCTTAATTGAAAGAGATGAAAAAATCAAGTAAGCAAACACTCAGCATTCCGATGAAGACCAGAGATAGAAACACCCTAAGCATAAAATATTGACAGAAAACCATTCCCTCCCATAACATATAATGGAACAGACAGTAATAACTATTTGTCAGCTGAAAGTCCACACACCTGAACATCTTCAACAACAATACGATTTACTCCATGCTCCATCGGGCACATATCTCCTCTTAGGCAAAATCCACGCTCCTCAAAGTCTCTACATCTCTGCCTTGGAATACCCATACCCACAGTAGGATTCAAGGGTGGCCTGAGTGTTCCCTGGAAACCAAGGGAATGAATTGTATCAAGGCCGCCATTAGACATTCCTGGAACCATTCCAAATGCACTCCAAGATGAACTCTGTGCATTAGAAACGTTTTGCACCCCTCTTCCAGTAAAGAGACCAGGAGTAACAGGGCCCTGTGGAAACAGTTGAGATGCAATATCAGCCGAGCCAAACCTTGAATCACGTTGGGCCCAAGCACTATGTTCTCTCCCTCGACCCCTACCATTACTAGCATCACCAGACAGTGATTGGTTCAGCCTCATTCTTTGGTATGATTCCATAGGGGCCCTGGAAAATGAACCCATTCCTCGTCTTCTTGGGAACCTGATTTCACTAAACTGAGAATCTCCTTCACCATAAGGATGTCCATTCTCAAAAGGCTTTCGTTTCCTGAATGGTCTACTGAAAACTGGTTCAATGGCATCAGTCTCCTCAGATTGAGAATGCAGTTCTCTCCTACGATGCTTATGATTGCGATCATCATCATCCTCTTCACTGATTTCTTTCTCTTCAGGATCACTGTTGCCATCAGAAGGTAAAAGTGCTGGCTTTGAAGATGAAACTTTAAGCTCCATGAGTCAACACTCAACCTTTTCTGTAATCAAAATTTGTATGCCCAGACAAATCAGATTATTTCAATGGCCCACATCAATTAAAAGTGACCAGTACCTGAAAGGGGGGACAACAATGCGGAAGACTATTAATATTACTTTACGCAAGCATGAAAAGCTGAACTTGACAGTTCTATTAAGGTCATTGATATTTTCTCACATACACAACAAAAGCGGTAGGTCTAAAATAAACAGTTGTAAGAGACAGCACTTAGACAATAAAAATGCAGTTGATAGTTTTTTTTTTTTTTTTGAGAAGGTAACATATCCAGTATATTCATAAAAAATCATCAGCACAACACATGTGCTGGAAACCAAAATAGGAGTGTTGCATTAGAAAAAACAAAAATACAATCCTTTTTCTTCTTACAAGGAGCTTAAAACATCTATAATTGAAACAGTATCATCTATGTATTCTGATTTACACCAAAAACAAAATAGAAGAATACACTTCATCTTAATTTTCTGGAGAGTATCTTCAAAACATCTCGAATTCCTTTCCTTCCAAATTGTCCACCAAAGCCTTTGTCAGTGGTGAAGTTTGCCCCTGAGTTCCAGCTTAGTAAGAGTTCAGAAGTTCTCCTGGCATTACCTATCTAGTACCTCTGAGGTTGATGAACAAATCCCATAGATCGCTGGTCACTTTACAATGTAGAAACAGATGGCTAATTGTCTTAGCATCTTGTCTACACAAATAACACCTAGATACAATTGGTATACCCCTCTTTCTTACGTTTCCCTGAGTAAGTACAACTTTCTTAACCACCAACCAAGAAAAGCATGCCACTTTATAAGGCACCTTTACTGTCCATATGTGCTTCCACGGCCATAAACTGAGTTGAGAGCACTCCTGGTTCAAATCTTTATATGCTGAGCTGACCGAGTAAATTCCAGTACTATGCTTCTGCCATCTGAGTGTATCTTCACCCTCCTATAGTCCTTTGCCTTGTTCCAAAGTGTGATAAAAATTGTTTTTTCACCGTCTTGCTTAGGGAAGACACATTTCCGTCCAGACAAGATCGTTAGATGATCCTTTCTGTACTGTATGTCCTGTCTTGAAGAACGTCTTGCCCGATCCGAGGTAGATCAACAATCGTGGAAGGCCCATGATGGTCGCTATAACGTCTTTTTCGACACAGTAACAAGGTCCAACGATTAATCTAACGTGAAAGACGATTACTGTACCTTAAACAACATGATATAGGCTTTGAAGAGGGTTTTCACGAAGGATTGTTGAATAGCCTTTCGCTCGGACTTGAGATCCTTCAACTGGCTGGAAGGTTGACTCAATTAACCTTGTAAGCATCTCCCAACCTTGTAAGCATCTCCTACAGTCACGTTCAAACCTTGTGTAGACCAAAGTTCATTCAAAGTAGCCCCTTATTGTTGGTTCAAAAGATAGATGTCAGGATATAGTTATTTTAAGCTTCGAACACCCAACTAGTTGTCCTCCCAAAACTGTGTTTTCCTTCCATCTTTTACACTAAGACTTGGCTTATCATTCAGACTTGGCCACAAATCTCCAAAGACCGACTCCATAAGGAGTGTTAACCCCTCTACCCATCCAAAATCTTCCTTTCCATATTTTACCTTAATCACATTGCCCATAGTGCTTGCTCCTCCTTTGGAAACCTCCCCAACCACTTTATCAATAGGCTTTTGTTATGCTTTCTTAAATTCCTGACTCCCAAACCCCCTTATTGTTTATAGATAGTCAGGATTTTTCATTTAACTAAATGTATCCCTTTTTTCTCTTTGTTTCCATGCCACAGGAAGTTTCTTCTCAAAGCTTCTAGCCTCTTTTCTACACTTGCTGGTAAGGGAAATAACGACATCATATAGGTAGGAAGAGCATCCAAAATAAAGTTGATAAGTATCAATCTACCTCCCAGACATAAATAATTTGCTTTCCATCTTGCAAGCTTATTCTCACATCTCTCCAAAACTCCATTCCAAATGTCTTTAGACTTACGTTTTGCACCCAGAGGCGTTCTCAAGTAAATGGTTGGGGTACTTCCTAACTTCTCCACCTAAAATTCTACCTACGGATGTATCCTAGGCACCTCACTGACTAGGAAATCTGGCTTTTCCTCCGGTTGATGTGGAGCCCATAAACAACTTCAAATAGGACTAAGATAACCCTTACATACCTCAATTGGCTCTCCTCTGGATCACAAAATATTAAGGTATCATCTGCATACTGAAGATGAGTGATTTTCCAGTTTGTTTGTTTGTTTGATTGTTAGCCACATTAGCCACATTGAGCCATAAATCCAACCATTCCCAAGTTCAATCTTCAGCATGTTATTTTAATCCTTCCATAGCTAGTACAAATAGAAAAGGAGACAGGAGATCACCTTGTCTCAAACCCCTTTCGGAGGAAAAAACCTTTAGGAGATCCATTTATTAGGATTGAGAAACTGACAGTACTTATACAAAATTTCATCCAACTAATCCATTTCCTTCCCAACCCCATTTTCTATAAGATCCCCAAAAAATTTCCAGTTCACATGATCATATCCTTTTTCAATGTCTTGCACATAATACCATATTTTTCCTCCTTTAACCTGGAATCAAGGCATTCATTTGCTATTAAAACAGCATCAGTGATATGTCCTGCTCTGATGAAAGCCTTTTGCTGTGAGTCTACTAATTTATGCATCACCTTTTTAAGTCTTTCAATAAGGATTTTGGAGATCAACTTATAGATGCTCCCTAAACTAATAGGTCTATAATCTCTTAATTCCTTGGCACCATTCTTTTTAAGGGATCAAAGTTACATATGTGGCATTGAAGCTCTTTTCAAACATCTCCTGAGAATGAAAATTCTGGATAGTAGCCATTACATGTGACTTGACCACCTCCCAACAATTGATAAAAAAAACCATAGAGTACCCATCTGGACCAGATGCTTTGTCTATTGCACAAAGCTTTAGACAATCCAGAATCTCCTTCTCATCAAAAGGACATTGTAAAGCTTGTTGTTCTTCTTCAATAATAGAATTATTCATATTGCAAATAGGTCTCCATTCCTCAGTTTCAAAGTAAAGCTTGATGTAACAATCTGTGATCCCCCTTTTTGATAGCTTCTGGTTCTTCACTAGACTCTCCTAATACCAACAACCGATCAATGTTGTTGTTCCTTCTATGCGCATTGGCTATTTTAGGGGGAAAAAACTTTGTATTCCCGTCACCCTGGTTAAGCCATAAGGCCCTAGATCTCTATCTCCAGGCTATTTCTCGTCTATTATTGAGTTTTTCCTCGTCTCCAGGCTATTTCTTCCATTTCATCGTTCTCTTCAAACTCCATTAAGAGATTTGTTCCTTTGGTCTTTCCTATTCATCTAGACACCTTGTCTTTTGAATTGCATCAAGTTCAGATATTTGATGCATTATTGAGTTTTTCCTCGTCTCCAGGCTATTTCTTCCATTTCATCGTTCTCTTCAAACTCCATTAAGAGATCCATTAAGAGATTTGTTCCTTTGGTCTTTCCTATTTATCTAGACACCTTGTCTTTTGAATTGCATCAAGTTCAGATATTTGATGCATTATTGAGTTTTTCCTTGTCTCCAAGTTGCCAAATTGCTTAGGCTCCATTCTATCAATTTCCCTTTGAGAGCTTTGAGATTACATGCAAGGATGTAATCAAGCTTGCCTTCAATAATAAAAAATGTCCACCAATCTTTAACTCTATCCTTGAATCCTCCAATCTCCAACCACCGGTTCTCAAACTTAAATAGGATTTATTCTGATCCCATTTACCACACCGAAGAACTAATGGTGTATGGTCAGAATAAATTCTAGGCAATAACTCTTGTTTGATGTTCTTGAAACAATCATTCCGTTCTACTGAGATCAAGAATATGTCAATTCTAGATGAGATCTCCTGATTGTCCCCACAAGTCCATTGTATAAATTCCCCCACTTGATGAAGATCAACAATTTTCCATGTCTTCAATAAAGTCTTAAAAATCTTTCATTGCTTTAGTGTTTCTAGTGAAATTCTTTTTTTTCAAAGGGAAATCTAACTATATTAAAGTCACCCCAACCACCCATGGACCCATAAATAGACTCCTAACCACCCCAACTTCCCACCAAATTTCTTGTTTCTCTTTATTGCAATTTGGAGCATAGACCCTTGTGAAGTGCCAATTGAAATCCTGAGTTTGAGATTCAAATCGGCATGTCAAAGTATAGGAACCAGTAGTGACCACCTCCCCCTTCCAGATCTTACTATCCCACAACATTAGAATCCCGCCCCTAGTTCCACTAGCCTCCAACTGCCCATATTTTACCCCCCGTTTCCCCATAATTGCTTGATGATCTCCTCTATATCCCCTTCAAATTTAGTTTCCTAAAAACAGATAACATTAGGTTTTCAATTGAGAACCAAATTACTAATAACCCTCCTTTTTTCTATGTGATTCAATCCCCTTACATTCCAAGATATGATTTTGATCTTGAAAGGTTCTACTTCCTCAATTGACCAAATTTCTGCTTCTGAAGACATATGCATCTGCATGTCTCCATTCTCCTCTAAAGTGTAACTGTCACAATGTGCATTCTCTCCTTCAATATTTGTCATGGCACCAGCTTTTTCATGAATCACCATCTGATTTTGCTCCTGAAAATGCGTAGGGGAGTCTTCCCATACTTCATTAATGATGTTTCCACAACTTTGTGGAGAAGACACCGTAATAGAGTTAATTGCTTCTATTTCAATTAGGAGTGGATCCAACGTATAAGGGATATCTATGTTGGCCTAGACCTGATTGAAAATTTGGGCTTCAGTAAATAAAACTGAGCCCAACTGAGTGTTCTTTTCAAGGGGCACTTTAGGAGCTTTGGGCTTTTTAGTAGGCCCAATACTCAAACCTTTAATTCCCCCTTATAATTGGCATGTACACTCTCCCCTTTATTATACGCCTTTAATTTCAAAGTAGGCGCATCTTTTGAGGAGCCCACGTGCTCCCTCCTTATCCCTTCTAACCTCTTTATTATAGGGCTCTCTTATCCGTTGGACATTCACCATCTCCGCTTCTCCTTCTTCACCGGAA